TACAACTTCAAAGGTTGTGAGAAACTATTTAAAACAATAGAAAAACCTTTGCACCTTCCAATTCCAGCCTTTTTTTTGTGTGTTTTAATTCAAAGAAATTTGTCATTCAATACAATAGTTATCTTTGGCTGAAGTTCATCTGCGTTCAATTAGTTTTTATTAGTTTTACACTGAATGAGACTTAAGTACCAGTTTAAATCAATTTGCATAAATTTCTACGATTTACAAAGTGGATTTTCCAGACAAAAATACTTCGACTAAATGTTGTTTAGACTTTGAATTGAATACTTGTTTCATCTTACTCATATTTTCATATCTATGAATATAGATATAATGTTCTTAAATTGTAATTGAACTAAAAAAAAACACTCGTAACTCTCAAAATATTTAAAAAATTAGCAGAGTATCTGCACAGTATTTTGGACTCTTCCTACTTTCCTTCCGTTCGCATGGGAAAATTGACAGTCAACATTTTCACAGAGCTGGGGGGTGTGGGAGTTTTCGAGTGCAGTTATAACGAGGTACAAGTAGAACATGCCCAAGCCCCGACAACTCGGGTGGCATGCGGCACTGACAAATTTCATAATTGTTGAATAACATTTTAAATTGTATTTAATTATTGTGTGTAATGCGGCGGCACTTTGGGAGTATTTTCCCAAGCAGCCTTTGTTTGTGTGTGGCCGCGGTATTGCCAATTTGCATGAGAACTGCAGGTGCTGAGAGCCCTGAGCAAACCCTTCAACTATGGAGTAGCACTAGCTGCTAATGCTAGGATATCAAATGAACTGAAATCAAAGACGGGTGTCTAGGACACAGAGCCTTTTCATACAATGAGGCCATGAGGTCACACCTAAAGCTCGGACTCCGACACGGGCTCAAGCTCACCTGCTAGGCTGGCTAATGAGCCGATTCCAGGCGGTGAGTGGGCGTTAAGCGACCAATTAAAGTGGATGATGACAAAATACATAAAGACAGAGTAATAAAAGTGTAGGGTGAGGGGACTGGGGACATGGCTTCGAGACTAGCTGAGACTCTTGAAAGCCCTGCAGGGGTTACGGCTGAGTGCGCAAAAAGTTTTCAGTTCATTTTGATGGCCATCAACCAGGGAAGTGGCTGCGTCTGTGGATGTTGGAACTTGGAACTTGGAACTTGACTGCCAGATGAGCAGCCCCCTTGCCGTAGCCTAGCAGCGAAATTATAATTAAAAGTCATCAACAACATTAGCCAAGAGAAATGTGCAGGCCGAGGCAGAAGGCCTAGGCCTAGACCTAGGCCCAGGGAAAGCAAAAACCAAATCCAGAACAACTGCGACGCAACAAGTAAAAGTAGTTGGCCCACGGCTCTAGACTTTGCTTATCTTTGTCTTTGGCTTCAGCTTTTACCTTATCTTTGGCTCTTTCCCATTATGTCCAAAGAAATCTTCGACCGTTGTGAATGCGGCAAACATTTGTTGGGAAAACATTTAATTAAGTTCTCTGTGCTCTGCTCTCTGCTCTCTGTCGGCGAATGATGAACGAGCGCTCCATTAGATTTCATTTACTCAACAAGTATTATCAACATTATCTGTGTGTATTAACTAGATGAATGTACCAACATCCCTAGCCACCTACCCCACTCTCCCCCTGGCCATGTCCTCCATTGAGCACGTGTTTCTGTCTGTCTGTCTGACTGTCTGTCTCGCTGTCTCTCTGCCTGTGTGTGTGAACGGAAATGAAGTAAGTTTGCTTTTCACTGCCACTGGATGCACAGTGGTTAATCATTATTTAAATGAAGTCCTTGAAGCACTTTCAAAGGAATGTCTGAGTGTACTCATAGCAGCTTTAGCTTGCTGCACGGAAATATAAATAGAAGTGGAAATATGCAAACAAAAACCAATGAAAACATATTACTCAACATATTTCGCATAAAATATGGCCTAGAAAAATCACAATTAATGCAAAAATCCTCTGAAAAATCAACATGGAAGATATTCAATATATTAAGTCAACAATTTATATTTTATATATTATTTTAAGCTAATTTTCCCTAACCCCTTGGTTCCTTCTGCAACTCACTGTGCACCTTTGTGCGCTGACATTACTCCTGCAGTTGTTTGTGCAGAAGAAAAACTTATCAGGCATACTGCAGCCGAGGCAGCAAGGGGAAATGAAAGCTTGCCAAGCGTGGCTGGCCATCCACGTGAGGTGAGGTGTCGAGCAGCAGCCCAGGGACAGTCGAGGAGAGTTCGCTGGAGATTTGCACATTAATTGCCTGCTACTGCAGGAGTGGCACCTGGGCGTTGTCAGGTGTGAATGCAGCGACTACTTTTGGCTAATGGCGAACCCGCACTCAACCCCATCAGCCAGAAGTGAATTCTTCAATTATTATCCCAGAATTAACCTTCCAACGAGTTCAAACAATTATCCATGCCGCTTGGCAAGCTAAGCCCATGGCTAGGTATAAAAAAGGGGAAATAAAAGTGCCTGAAGAGCTGCCCCATTTACTAGGACTATTTAGGAACTACTTCCTGATAAAGGCATCAAAAAAATGTCTAATTAAATCTCCCACTTACTTTGGAAACTCTTAAAATAGAATCAGCCTCAGTTACACCCGCAATAACATGACATTAACCATTAGAATAAATATAATCAAAGGCCCAAACATCTCCACTTGGAACACAATAAATCTTAAAAACAAAAAGCTGCCTCAAAGTCAGAGATGTTTGCCACACAAAGGAATAGCTTAGCTTTTGCATACAAGTTTCCGAGAACAAAAGCATTTGTGAATTATGTGCATAATCAGTGTAGGGTAGGGACATGCTTGAATGCAGGGTGACAGGGCTCTTTATGGTGTTGCCTTAGCGGACTTAGTGCCGTTGAAGGCATCAATTGTTGCCACAGCGTGGCCAACCGACGCGTGGCCAAGGGAGACGAAGACCTGCCACATGTGAGCCGCTGGACGGCAGGCACATCCTTCCCGGCTGCCACAGCCAATCTCCAATGGCGTTTTTCAATTTAGCTATTTCCGTTACAGCAGTGGCCAACATGATTAAGCAATCAGAGCCGCCTGAGAGGCGCACTTCAGCTGAAACGAGTAAATGAGCCCAGCCAACCGAAGCTAGAGGAGAGCGTGGAGGCGGGGAATGGGAGGGCAAAGAAAATTGATTTGAAAGGAAAAGGAACCCCGCTGGCAGCGGAAAGGATTTATGTGTGTAGATTATTCGAAATGATGATGCTGGTGGAGTGGGTTCTAAGCTGTTTATATGCCGGCCACAAAAAACCATCATTAAATTATTTTAGCCAGGCAGTTGGGGGGCGACACAAGTTACGAGACACTCGTAAGTATCCAAAGCTCTGTGGTCCCGTGCCCCCGAGAACCCTCATTAATGGCAGTCATAAATTGTAAGTGCAGGACTTTGATTGCAAATCGACAAGTGCTGGGCATCATAAAATTAATTAATTATGCACCAGCGACAAGCCCGTTCCGCAACAAAAAGCGTTCCGTCATCGACATTGATTTGACACACCAAAGAAATACGAGAAATTACGCTTCAAAAGTAGCATAGATATGTGGGCAAATCTCGCTTTGAGTATCGTTCGCTTATCGCTGAAAAATCTCTACATATAAATGGCATTTTCCCAACAAAAAAGAGACAACATTTCACGTACTTCATGGCTTAAAGTACAAATTCAAGCAACCAATCGATGGCTGGGCATATCGATCGGCATTGAGGCCACAAGGCCTACAAAATAATTGTCTAAAAGGGAAAGCGTGTACGCCGACGAATGTCATGCCCGAGTGGCAAGGAGGCGGAGGACAATAAAATTGCTTTTCCAGCGTGACAATGGAAACACTTTCATGTTATTTGAATGCCAATGCAACATTAAACTTGGATCTGACTGCCTACAAGCCACCTCGCAGACGCAGACTCCGCTCTGTGTTGCGATTCTGTTCCCCAACAACGCATTAAGCACAGGAGGGGAGTTGCTGCAACTGCCACTGAAACTAGAAGCAAAAAACAATGCCAGGGTCACATGCCCAAGCTGCGATAAATTGTTGCTTCTCGAGGCGAAGCTACCAGCACGAGTTGTGGTGCCCCCACCAGGAGCCACCAAGAGACGCTGGCTACAAAAAGACGCTTGCCAAATGAAAACCATTTTTGCGCGAATATCAATTTAATACCGCCGGCAAGGACCAACTCCTGACTGGGATGAATGCCACTGCCACGGGGGGGGGTGGCGCGTGATTTGTCGCCCAAGTGCCGCCAGGTGAGTCGTGACCCAGGCACAAACCGATATACCGTTATCCCAATCAGCAGATACACTGTGGAAAAATTGGGGAACTTCAAACAAGAAAGAATTTGGAGACAAATTTGCTACAAATTGCTGTCTCAAGTGAATGGAAGTTAGACTAGATTTTAATTTGGCATTTTAGTAAATATTTTTGAGAATTAAATAAAAAGGTTTAATGGCAGTTTCTTGCTAGATATTAGAGTTGAAAGCTTTCGAAGTTTGCAGCCACATTTTGTTGAGTAAATTTTGATTTTTGTTCAGTGCCAAACGCTGTCCCCTGCCCCGCACCCCGCACCCCGCACATCGCATTACTCTGCACAAATGTCGGGCCATAAATTGCGGTTTTCGAATGCTCGAGACGTGCGTAGAGCCCAGCCAGACGTAGGGCAGGGCGAGGGATGCCACTCGAAGTTTTTGCAGTCAATAAAATGCTTGTTCTAAGTGCAATTGCGGAGTGCAGAGTGCAACTTCCAGGGCATTGTGCATTGTCTGCTGCCGAAAAACTTACTGCTCCCACATTTAATTAGGTAGCAGGAGAATAAGTGGATTAAGGACGGGAAACTACTTGAGTTTGTTCGAGCCAAAAGTGCAATGAAGCAGCACGTCTCACAAAGGAAATTGAGAAAATGAAGGAGATACAGCGGGAAGTATGTGTGAGCTCGAGGGCTCAGCGCATAAACCAACCTTCCAGCAACTCTTTGCATTGAATAGAACAAAAATTGTACTCACATCATTCTGGTGGCATCTCGCTGGCGCACCGACTCGTCCCTGTTGAGCACCTCGATGATCATCTTGCGCTCATTCTCGGACAGATTCTCGAGCATTTGCGTGGTGGCCACGGCCAGTTCGGGTCCCAGGGCATCGATGGTGTCGACGGGCACGGGCACGCAGGTCTCGCTGCTCGTGGAGATGCCCATGCCCATGCCCATGCCGGAGCCAAGGTTGAAGGGGTGCACGCTCCCGGACATGCCACCCATGCCAACCATGCCACCAGCCATGCTCATGCCCATGCCACCGCCCATGCCCATGCCACTGCCCATGGCCATGCCTCCAGCCATTCCCATGGCAGAGGTTGCTGCTGTGCTGGTCGCCGAGGTGGGGACTGTGGCATGGCTACTGCTGCTGCTGCTGTACTGCATCATGCTGTTGCTGTTGGGCTCTGTTGAGGCAGCTGCCGCGGCTGCTGCTGCTGCTGCTGCTGCTGCTGCGGCTGCGGCTGCCACCCGGTGCTTGTTGTTGGTGGTATGCGGGGGCGTGGGCGGTAGGCGTGCGCTGCGTCCACTTGACATGCTACACCGATTTCTATGACTGCAAAACGAACTCTGGATTCTGAATTCTGAATTCTGAATTCCGGCGTCTCTCTCTCTGTGTATCTGTGTACGATTGTGTCTGTATCCGTGTCTGTGGGAGAGTCAGCAGGTGGTTCTTATGCCCCTTTGTTGCATGCAAATTAAGGGCGAAAAGTTACTAAATTGGCTGATTGCCCCCCTGCAGCGTCACGGCCTTGATCCTCGAACCAGTTGCAGCCCCCGGGCGTTGTTGCTCTTTAAAATTTGATTTTAATTTTGTGCCTTGCCAGCGAAATGCGCCGCATGTTTGCCAGTGAGCCAGTCGATAACTGCAAAAAGAAAAAGAGATTTCAATAAGTAACAGGAAGGAAACACTTTTAATGAATAAATCTTGGGAAAATGCTAAGCCATTCATCTTCATATTTTCTGATCCAGGTCACACCTCTCCATCAACCAATTAAAATTTCAAATGGAATAAAATGTATGCCGCAAAATGGCTGCATACTTTAAAGGCGTTGGTCATTGAAGTGCCATTGAAGAAGGATTAAAAAAACTCTTTCTCCATCAATTTTCATTCACTATGGACTTTATTTATTATATTTTTTTTGTATATTTTTAGGCTGTTGTGTTGCATACTAATCAAAATAAAAGGCTTCAAAAATAACTGCAAATCAAGAGCTTTGGCTTTGGCATCGAACGCCATCAAAATAACGATGATTAAATCATGTTCTACTCGAATTTACACACTAAGCACTAAGCCTTTTTTAAAGCTTTAATGGTTAGAGATTTCTAGAATAAACGAACTCTTGGATAAAGCATTTATATTACATTTTGAAGATGCTTTTCGATTCCTGAAAATTATAAATTGAATGTCCAATAAAGTTAACCAATTAGGTGAGTGATTAAAAAGATTAAACGTAAAGTGAATACAAAAGGAAGAACGCCATAAATAGCTAACTTTGTGCTTGAAAGATTGTGAGTTGTTCAATGAAATTCTCAATCAGTAGGTATACCCTAATCAATTTATAAACTTTACATGTGACTGTGCACAGCATGCTGGTAAAAGTGCGTAAAATGCATGAAAAATGTTCAAAAATTTTCATTTCTTTTTTTTAATTTTGCATGAAATCATTCTGACAATTGATACACAAACGCAACACTACACGTATTTTGTGTGGAGAATGCACACAAAGATTGAGGTTATCATTCCAGCTAAAACATGGCAAATGTTTGTGCAACATTTAAAAAATAAAATATGAGAATTTTATACGAAGTTTTGTGTCTTTTTTTAAAGCGATTTCAGCCACAGCCTGGGGTATGGGTGAGTGACCCAGGATTTTCAGCACGTTGCAGCACGTTGCGGGCCAGCATAAGCCATAAATACACGAAATGATTAATGGAATATTGAACACATTGTCCTGCGGCTGCCACACACACACACACACACGAAGAGAGTTCGACAGGGACCCACCGTGGAGAACTCAATCATACAAATAACGTTAACGTTTTGCTGCTGCCACACGCACTGCACGTGGATGTGTGTATTGCGGTGGCAATGAGTGTGAACCTACACACACAATGATACATTTGCTTGCTTTAGATTTTAGATACGCGCACTCGTAGTCAGCATAGCGAACACAATATAGGTAAATGTATGTGAATATATGCATACATTTACACGATTTTGTGCTTGATAAAGTGGCAACTGTGTGGTGGCTGTTGGCCATGTTTGAGTTACCATTAAACTGGTTTAACTGTGGCAAACAGAGCAGCTTGGCTGTTCAATTGCTGCAAATTGCAGTGCATTAAATCACAAGTTAATTTAACTTTTAGCTCAACTTTTATCATCTACTTTGGCCCTACAGTGGACAGTTTATTGTATCATATTTTAATTATAATTATTATTGTTTAAGGATTGCAAATATATGCCTCTGATCCTTTGTGGGTTTTGTGTTTTTGCTACAGGTTTTAACATGTTGAAAGTCTGCTTTTGAGTGTTCTTTATAATATAAATTTAAACAATCAAGAGAGCTGAGTTGACGGCAGTGCTGCTGGCAGGGAAATTTGCATTTTCTACATCTGCATCTACACTGGATGAGGCTTATTATTTATTCATTTATTTTATTCCACACTTTGTACAATTATGTACATGTTCTCTACTTGATTGCAGAAACATGTTGTGGTCAGAAAATAATCAAAATAATTACCCAAAACAACAATTAGCTCTATGAACAGCTGCCTAAAGCGCCACTGAATGGAGGAGAATTTTGATATATTTATAGAAACTGAGCATCAGTTATCTATAAATTTGTTTGGCCTTTCAGTTCAGTTTATTATTTATTTGCAGTAAATTGCAAAATTTTCAATGAATTTTTGCTGTTTTTGCCAGAGCAAAAAGTGAAATAAGAGAGTTGGGCATTCTTTTCCTGTACTTTCCTCATCATGGCTCATCCTTCTTGATTGAGTCAAAGAGGGGGAAAAGCAGATTACAGACACTCAGAGCACAACAGGCACTTCCATTTCAGGTGGGAACCATTGCATTTTGAGATTTAATCTTTAACCTGCCCTTGAGTGCAAGCTGCAATAATTCTGCCTTTGTTTTACCATTGACTGAAAGGCAACCTTAAAAAAACTTCTCAGCGATTTCCCATTAAATGTGTCGAGCAGGGAAATTTCAGTGGAAAATAAATATTCATCATTTTCTAGGAAAAGGGAAAATGTCCTTCATGTTACTTGACGTTATTAACATTCTTTTTGTGTAGCAAATTGAATTTATTTTTCTGTTTGATTTTTTGTCTTCCTTTTGCTCATTTGATTGTTTGTTGTGCCAGCCACAGCGAGATTTAATTATGAGGCTATAAATAAAGTGCATTGAATGCCTCTGGCTGTCCCGTACAAGAGCAACCTGTTACCTGGCCCCTGGCACACAGAGACAGGCACTCCACCTCTATGCGGAGGCGCTTAAACAAAACCACCTGTGCGCCGTGTTCAATTTAATATGTGTGTGAATGGGTCGGCCCTGAGTGGGTGGATGGATAGTCCTATGTAGCAGTAACAGTCAAAAGACATTTAAATGACAATGACAGTTTAACTGTGGCGCCCCAGAAAAGGACAAAGGCGTTGGGCCTGCCACAATAGTTGGGCTGGGGTACGGGGTGGACTGTCTGCTTGCTGCACAGTCCAACAGTTTTATCGACTTGACAGAGCCAGAGGCACCCTCACACACATGCAAATATAGTCAAAGGCAAGTTCCGGCAGCTCCGACAGAAGCCCTAGAAAGGTGCAAAATGAAAAAACTGAAAATTGAAAATTGAAAATGTCATAAAGTTACGGCCAGGATATGGCGCTCATGTCAGACAGATAGACACGGCTAAGGACATGTGATAGCGGCATCAATCGCTCTGCTGCTGCTGCTGCTGATGCTTAGTCGATGAGTATCCTGCATGATGGATGCGGCACGGCACGTCACGGCATCGAGCGTGCGTGGAAATGTAATTAAGCACACTGAGTGGAAAGTTATTTGGTAAAAGTTGTCTGCAACCCGGTGGCGGGAATCTGTGCTGCCTCCTAACCGGCCACTAAGTAGTAAACCATTCAACCATCCAACAGTTTGAGCTGTAAATTTCTCTTGTTCCACTGTGGCTGAGCCAGACGAGAGAGAGAGAGAGAGAGAGAGAGAAGCAAAAGGATGCACATATGGATGTACGTGATGGCAGGCTTGTCTCTGACTCTTTTTAATTTACACTTGCTGAATTTTTAATGATCCATGTGCGCCAGCGTTGCGTATACGTAATGTGTAAACGACCTGAAAACAGACACGGATACACCCACAGACACACACACACGCATGACAGGATGAAGGAAGTTCTTTTTGTAGGGGTCTGTCCAAATGCCAGATGCTTGCTGAGTGCGCTCAGATGCCATGGCAACGGCTATTTTTAGCACGAATTCCCAAACGAATAAACTTCAGAGAAGAGAAAGAGAGCGGACGGAGGACGAAGGCAGCTTCCGGTATACGTAGCTTGAGCCTGGTAATTGAATTTGACTCGGCGCCGAGACAATCAATATTGAGACAAAGACGCCACAGGAAGCCCCAGACCAGGCACCTCCAACTCCAACTCTCCCGCTGATGTCAGGTGTAAGCCCGAGGATATGTGATGTGTGTGCCAATGGATGCCCGGATTAAAATGCACAGTGCACAATGCGAGCGATAAAGCGTTTTTCCATGCATAAGCAAAAACAAATGGATACTCTGGCATCAGCATTCTACGAGCAAACAGAAGGCAAGCCTGAGTCAAAGCAGCTACAGACTGACACATTCACAATAAATATGCAATAGACAGGCTAAAGGATACCAGGAAACATAGCACACATGAGTTCTATTCACGAAGCTGGCACACAGTTTTTAGAGACTTTCAAAGAGCGTTACTGAAACGATACTCGTACCAGATGTACGCTCAGTAAGTAGCTCATTGGCACACACACATCGCAATCAATGTCAAAGTGTACCTTAGACAACAAATAGTCCATATAGAGTATATACACACATGGATAGATATGAGCTCCTCCTGAGGGTGAGTGCTAAACCTGAGCATTTCCGCTGCGCTTGAGGCTGCGTCCGGTGGCACCCAAAGGCACCCTAAGCACTGCTCCAAGGGGCATATATTACTATAAAATAAGCGTTAAGCATGACTACAAGAGCACATACACGAGACACATAGTCAGAAGCAGAAGCAAAGACAGACCAGGAGAACTGGAGACGAGACATTACAGATAGTACGGGTGAAGGCAGGAGGAGTCTTGGTACATGTCGTGTTACATTCTCAGTACAGTATGTATGAACATTAAGTGTCTAGCTTGTTGGTGTCAAGTGCTTGTCGGCAAGGTTGTCTCTGGTTCACAATATTGACTACTTAGAGACGGAGCCGTGTGTGAGCCGTGGAGGTGGAAACGCCAAGCCAAGCCAAGCCAAGCCAACCAAACCGTGTGACAAGTGAGAAGTCATTTGTTTTTCG